GAACAGATTTAAAATACCAAAGAATAAAGTAAGTTTCAGTAAAATAATCCTCCGAGATTGACCAGCACAATTAGAACATTAGTAAGCCATAAGGGCTAAATCGATGGCTGTGACGCTCACCATTTAGTTCTAATTTCCCCTGCGTGATTGGTGCCACTACCACATGAGGCTGGTTGGCGAGAGTTTATGGGGGTCAAGTTGGTGAGAGTTTATGGGGGTCAAGTATATCAGTCTGTTATCAGCTTTTGACAGCAGTGCACTGTGTTTCTGTTTAAAGTGGAATTCGTAAATAGTTACACAGCTCGACAGTATTTTTTAATTCTGTCTGCTTAACAGCCCATCATGTTGAAGAAGACCAAGAGAACGCTGAAGGAAGAAAACAGATTTTTTAATGAGGAGTGGGAACTGCAATATTATCTCGTTTCTGCTAAAGATAAGACAATTTGCTTGCTTTGTGATGCTGCAATATCAACAGTAAAGAAATTCAATGCTCATCGCATTATAACACTCATAAGGACCACAAATACCTTAAATTAGAGGGAGAGGCAGGAAAGGTTGTACTGCAGAAATTAAAAGATGAAAAGCACAGACAATTCTTTTAAGCAGCAATAAGACCTGGAAATAATGTCACTGAAGCAATCTGTAAAATAGCTTATATACTCGGGAAAAAAAGAGAAGCCATTCAGTGATATAGAAATTGTGAAAGAATGCATTGTCAAAGTTGTAGGATGCTTAGACCATGATAATGTTTCAATACAAACAACTGCCTCTTTCAAAGAGAACCATAACTGATCAGCAGATAAATTAGCCTTCAAGTTAACAGAAAAACTTCATGCAATACTTCAAAAGGAAAATATATATTATTCAATCACTTTGGATGAATCAACTGATACTACTGACTCAATGTAGATTTTATACTTCATTCAGGTCATAACAGAAGATCTTCTTTGCTATAAAGAGTTACTCACTCTGGGCACTCTTGTGAACAGAACACAGGGATTGCAAATATGGAATCTGTGAATCATGAGGATTGACTATATCTGATTCACTTATAAAAAAATCTAGAAAACATAAACAAATACAGAGTGACAGAAAGCAGATGAGTGGTTGCCTGGGGATAGCAGTTGGGGCCCAGAGGGAGGGATTACAAAGGAGCAGGAGGAGACTTTTGAGAGTGATGAGTGTGTTCATTACCTTGACCGTGATGACTATTTCACAGGTGCATACATATGCGACAGCTTATCAAATTGTAACTAACTTCCTGCCATATTCTGCATGTCACTGACACCTCAATAAAGCTGTTAAAAAGAAGAAAACACCCATGCATAACGAACTATGCCATGCTGGTGGGGAAGGAGAAGAGGAGAGAGATATTTATGAGGTTTAACTGTGAGGAACTGCTGCCTGAGGGGTGAAGGAGAGTGGGTCAAGGAATCAAAGGTGACTTGATGTTCCAAACTTGGTTGCTGGGTTGATGACGATGTTATTAGTAATGGAATTAGGAAATACAGAGGACCAGGTTTCTGAAGGGTAGAGAAAATAAGTTCAGTTTAAGGTTCCTGACCTGGCTCCAAACTCTCTTTCCCATGTGAGATCACAGAGTTCTCTCCAACGCTGTCCCCCTGGTTGTACAACCACGTGAACTCCCTGACTTCTCAACACCAGCTTATCTTCCCAGCTATCTTACTTCTTCCATGGCACCAACCACCTTCGAGTCCTTCCTCTCTTCTAATCTCTATGTCCAAAGACTTGTCAATTCTGCCTATCACATTCCATCCAAATTTCTTGCCTCACTTTTGAGGCCTTCCAAAAATGTGGTCCCAACTGATCATATTGTATATCTCATTATTCTCTATCCTGTACTCTCCACTTAAATCAGGGTACTGATCTCTCCAGCATATTCCTTCATCCCTCCAAAGCCCAAAAGTCCATCAAACTTAACCTGTATCCTTTCTGATTTCCAGCAGAGCCAGTACCACCCTGTCTAGCACTTCACGGCTCTCTAACTTTCAAACCTACGCTAACTTACGCACCTTCAATAGAAGCTCATTAACCAACTGAAGTGAGAAAGGCACTGTTCTGGGTACTATGGGATAATCAAAGATGAATAAAGATGATGTCTGGCCTCAAATGTGGAGGGCAGGGGCAACACTGCAATATCAACTTCACCAAGCACAATACTAAATTGCAGTCGTTCAGATGAGACACTCTTTGCTCGGGGTGATCAGGGAAAACTTCACGTAGAAGTTGACACTCGAGCCAGATCTTGAACGTTGAGTAGAATATTTTTGTGTCAAAAAGAAGAGGGCTTCGCATGTGAAAAAAATAGAAGCCAAAGGCAGAGAAGCAGAAAATGGCAAAATTGTATATTCATGCAGACAGGGATGGTGTCACCCACATCTTAAATCTCTCATGGCATTTGGTATAATAATTGGCAAACCGCCCACACTAAGTACTTACTGGGTTGAATTAGTTATACTTGATTTTAAGTGGTTTCATCTAGATCCTAAGTGAATAATGTGTTATAAGTGAGGTGGAGAGCTGTATCTTTTATAAGCCTGGGTTAAGTGGCACAAATTTATACCACAAACACCAAAATTGGAAGGGTAATTTAGAAATAGCTTTAATGGCTTTTTCCCAGGTAGCGAGCTGTATGTAAAACAGTCGGTGCAGTAGGATCTATTCCCTGATTGCTCAGATATTACCTGTGACATAGCAGAAGATAATGCCCTATTTAATCCAGTTAAGTAAAATTTTGACATCTGTAACCTTTTAAATAAATTACAACAAAGGTGTCCACTACATCCACACTATGTTCGGATACAATCTTACCACATATTAGTTACCCCATATTAGTTTTGTGATAGTTATTTGATGGAATTTCAAAGAAAAACCATATTTTATTCTGCTAATGTAGAAACAACAACCAGTGTTCAAAAGAGGTGTTTTTAATTCTCAGTCCCAAACTTCCAGGAAAAAGCTTTGGAACGAAATTTAAAAACCTAAAAAGCTATAATTTTGTAGTTACAGAAACCCTCACATTACATGCTTTCAGTATTTCCCTTCCTATTGTGTGTGAGCCAACCAGCACATACCATTTGTAGGCTAATGCTCATTATTCCAAAAGCGAAGTCACTAGTCTAATTTTGTATGTGACGTGGGTTATGGGAAAACAAGGAGATCAGTCTCACTGTGTAGTAGATGTATGATTTAGAGAAGGAACTGGGGATTATAAATGAAACAGTTCCCTAGAAAATGACGCCACCTTACCGCTGGAGCCGAAGTCCACAGGCCCGATCCATTTGAAGGCTGGTTTACGGCCTCGCTCTTCTGTTACGTGCACTTTCTTTATCAGAGCCAAGCTGGTCAGAACATTGGCTATATCATAGAGGCGTCGTACCTTTGCTTGAAGATGTAAAACACAATTATGGTCATGCCATCTGCGACACCACTACATTTTAGTTTATGTGACAGGTAACTTTTCTCAGCCATTATAAAAACCTCAAGTGGAAAGCAGTGGGGTGGGACGAAGAGACCAATGACTCTGTCATGAAATCACTCAGGATTTTATGTATCTGCGGTATCTCGAGACACATACCAAGGGAAGGTCAGTGTGTCATTCCATTTCCACAACTTCACACCTCTTACAAGAGGCACCTGGTGACAAGCAGGGAGCACTGGGATTGCGAAAACACCAAGGGAGGACATGGGCCGTAATTAAAGGCTTAGTAAATGTAATTCTGATATAGCACATCAAAAGCTTGCCCTGCAGGAGATCACGGTACCAGCTCCACCAGGCAGCTGGTCTGTGAAAATAACAGCGATTCCTCACAGCTTCCTGCCAGGTTGCACTCCTGGGTACACAGGATGGCCGAGACTCAAGGTCACGAGGTACAACTGTGCTAAAGACAGGCAGCTCCTCACCTAAAATCCTGGTATTCTGGCCACTCAGTGGGAAGAGCTGGGCTGGGCATGCCCTAAATCTTAAGAGGTTTTGGGAGAGAGATCTACATGTGCATCTACTAGAGGAAAAACTCAGAAGGGGTGGTAACACATTAAACAGGCAGGATGATGACCACAAAGTATTTTTGATTCAAGAAATCAATTTACAGGTAGGAAACCCAGTTGACCTCAGGCTAAGATCAAAGGAGTTTTGCTTATCGTCCAGAAACATCATGCATTCACCCAGCTGTAGCTTTCTGCTTCCCAATCCTGACAAGGCTGGATTTTCTCTAGCCATTTCACCTGCAAGGGTGGTATAATTCCAGTTGGAAACAATGAAAAAGCTAGAGAATGTTCAGCTCATGGCTTCCAGGGGCTTGAACGGGCTTCTGGCAGCCCAGGGCATTTGGCTCGGCATCCAAGCTGGACGGAAGAGGAAGATGCACTAAGCATGAAGCTCAGGCACTCTCCCTGTTCAGCAGCCCTGTCCCACCACCCTACCCTGGCCATTCCTCTGGGTCTTACCTTAGACAACTTTCATCTCCACCCTTCAGAAGAGTATGCAAGGGGTGGGGAAAAAAGGGGAAAGAAAGCTCAGACATTCTGTCTCGGATGCAGTAATACTAAAGAGAAATGCAAAGTAACTCACACCCTCCCTGACCAGCGTTCTCAGGACGGCATTCTGCTTCTCACCGTCCACTGTAACCATCCAGGGAAGGCATCTGACAGGCTTTAAGAGGAATTCTAGTATGTGACTAACTTACCTCTCACAGCAATGAAAACCTTTATGAGTGTAGGAAGGAGTACATGCCTCTCTCTATATAACTTTTATCTCAGACGTAGAAAATATCAACATATGAAATCCCACCCTTTTTATGCTGACAAGTGGATTTAGGTGAAGATTCTTACTTTTAAATTTACTGTGGTCCGGGGTATCTTGGCTTTCTTCGATCAGTATTTTGGCAGCCACATCCAGAGTAACAATCTTGGTTTTAGAGACGAGGAACAGCATGACGAACTTCTGGCTCATAATTCTCAGAGACTTGTCTTTTCTACTGTTTGCTGATGCTACAAAGGGAATGAAATGAAAGCATCAAAACACACGATTTTCTACAAGAGAGACTGTCCTTGCATTTGCCAGAACTATCTAACTCTCCCAGCAGATGGAAGATCACCCTCTTTATAGACAGAACCCTACTGGACACACATCCCAAAAGTCAGCTCATAAAGAAATGAGCTGGATTTTCTTGTGGCTTATAAAATTATTACTCTAGAGTAGACATAAACTCTGAAATGCGTATTTGAAACCACTCTCAATGCTTTATGCTTATACTTCATATAATAGAATCATAAGTGGCAGTTTTCCTGAAGCAACTTCTTGGAACCATTAATGTAGGATAAAAAGACAGGGTAGGGATATGGAATTGTTTTCAGAACATCAACTCTCCTCTCAAAAGGCAAGAACTCCATTTTATTTCTCTGTGCCCACACTGTCTAGACTATACCCTAAACATAGTTGGTGCCCACCCATCCCATTTCTTTTCAGAAATATATGAATAAATAAACTACACATAAATAGGCTGATTAGATGTGTGTTCCTGTGGAGGGCAGGCACACTGTCCCCAACAGATGGCTGTCTTCTCTGGTTAGGATAAGTCTTGGCTCATGGGGTGGAACTAAAAGGCATGAGGCAGTGAATCTAATGAAAACCAGGCCCCCCTTCCTTTCCATTTCTATTTCTTGTATTTGCAAGTGAAATGTGAGTGTGATACTTGTACTTTGTCATCTAAGCAACACGGAGGAGGGTAAGAATGAAGAAGATCAATGACTAAAAGAAGAGGATAAATATGAGTTGGAAGGGAAGAACAATGCAGATATGAATCAAAATTTCTGCACCAAATGAAAGCAGGGGGCATCTATCTTTCTTATCAACATTTTCTGCAAATGGGGTTCTTTTCTAAGTAGTCTACTCCAGTACACAATTAGACAAAATTCTTTGAAACGATCACTTCTTCAAAGTAAATTTTACTTAATGTCTCACAAAAGAAAACAGCATGGGGCTGTCAATCTAAAATGGGAGCACCGTTAGCAATAGACGGTCCCAACATGCCAAACACTGGTGAAGTGCCATGAGACAGGTTTCAAGTGAGGTCGAGTGGGCAGCCCAGTCGGGAGCCATCTGTCTCCCTTTCTCCAGTAGAGAGAATAAGGGGACATCTCCCTCCAGGGTTGTCAGTCTGGCACTTTCCATCTTAGCAGTGAAACTCTTCAGAAGAGATCATTGCTGTCTCTCTGCCATTACTCATGAGGTTACAATGGACTCACAAGAGGGATAGTCGGGCTCAGAGAAATCCAGTAACTGTGGATCTTGTGACTCTGGATAGCCATCTTTTTTACGTTCTCCAAATTTATAATCCATGAGGTCCAGCTCTTTCTGTTGGAGGTAAGCCATCTGCTCTTCGTATTTCTGCTCCTCTCCCAGTCTCTGGAGGTTCCTCAGGGTTTTGGGCAGGCTATGCCGTCCATGCCAGCCATACTGATTCTTGGCCACCCGGCTGACCAGATGCAGTGACTCCAGCACATTTACAATGTCATAGATACGTCTCCTCTCCACACCTGTTTGAAAAACAGAAGCCAACAGACTTCACGCAGATGAACGCTTTTGAGTATAAATTCCCTGAGGGCCTGGACTGTGCCTGTGAACTACTTTGCATGATGCCCAACGCAATGCCCGGCAAGTGTAGATGCTCAATAAGTTCAACCTGTAAGGATGGAGGCAACAAATTATTTTTCCTTTTCCTTCTTGGGATCCAACCCTCAAAAAGATCTAGGATAAATCACATGAGGTGTGATTGCACCATTGTACTCTAGCCTGGGCGACAGAGCAAGAGAGCAAGATCCCATCCCTTAAAAAAAAAAAAAAGTACTGGCCAGGCACAGTGGCTCATGCCTGTAATCCTAGCACTCTGGGAGGCCAAGGTGAGAGGATCACTTGAATTCAGGAGTTCGAGACCAGCCTGAGCAAGAGCGAGACCCCGTTTCTACTAAAAATAGAAAAAATTAGCTGGGTGTCATGGCGTGCACTTGTAGTCCCAGCTATTTGGGAGGCTGAGGGAGGAGGATCGCTTGAGCCCAGGAGTGTGAGGTTGCTGTGAGCTAGGCTGATGCCATGGCACTCTAGCCTGGGAAACAGAGCGAGAGAATGTCTCAAAAAAAAAAAAAAGTGTTTACAGTGGTTAACTTTGGGAGCTCTGCAGTCAGACTGCCTGGATTTGAATCCCTGATCTATCCTTACTAGTTGGGAAGTTACTTAACCTTTCTATGCCTTAGCATTTATCGCATAAAATGATGAGGATTAGATGCAACCATAAATGTAAAGGGTCCCCAGTTGGCATTCATTTTAAATAAATACTTTTTGCATGGCATTAGAGATACCCCAACTCCCTGCTAGCATAAGAGGTCACAGTAGAAACCGATTCTAAAAATCTCAAGTCTGTGACTCATTGTGTTGTGAAACAGGCCCTTGGACTCATGGCCTACTTTGCTCTCATCTAAGTATCCATAGCAAAAGCCTCTAGGCATCTTGCAGGAAACCAGCCCAGCTACAAAGATGCCCTCTTTCTTTTCACTTCCCAGGAGCTCTTATATAATCAGGGCAGACTCAGTGAACGTAGCTGTTGGCCCTTCAAAGACTAAACACGAGAAATATACCAAATTACAATAAGAACTCTGGAGCTGAGAGAAGTTCTATCACATGCATGAAGAGGCCTTTTATAGTCAATCAGAACATTTCGGCTCATGACCCTGAAAGGCTGGCTACCCTTAGAAGTTCAGACTTCGGTGCCAGATGCCTGCCGGAAGGTGCTGGCAGGAGCAGTCGGCAGCCCCTTGTCCAGAACTGCCTGCTTCTTTATTCCAGTCTGTTTTCATATATTAACATGTCTTGTTTAGAGAGTAACATTCTATAAACCTTCCCATTAGAAATGTCATGTGAATGCAACTGAGACACCCCAGGGCCAGCCATATGCCCGCCTGTTTTGTTATTTTGTTTTTGATAACAAGCTGCTAAGTCTCCATCTAGTGGCTAGACATCCCAAGAAGCAAAAATAAAAGAAGCTTCTGACCACTTGGAGAGCTGCGACTATGCTTAGTATGCACACTGGGTGTTCAGTAGTGGTGGCTGCTTGCCTCCTCATTCACTCACCTCTTTAATCTGGACTGAATTTAACTGTCCACTGGCTAGTGCACTAAAAAGTTCCATTTCACAGGTCTGAAGACCCATGTGTTACTCTGGGGGCTTGCTCTGTCAGGAAGGGTTTCCCTGGCACTCAGTCTTCTTTTTCTTTTGTATTCAAGTAGTTCTATTACTCCTCATCATGGCATTGAGTTATACGGTCAAGGATTTACCAGTTGTTGCCATGCTTCCTTTAGTTCCCAATGGAACTTATTAAGAACAATTCTCAGCCCAGTGTCCTAGGCTTTGCTATTTTCCATTTACTAAAGTCACTCCCAGTTCTTTAAATTCTTACCCATGATATCAACGTCAAATCTACATAGCACCAGAATCTGAGAAACAGTGCAAGTTGAATACTCTACACATCCTTGGTCTTGTAGCTTGTACCCTGGGATGTAGCAGGAAGTTTCAACTCAACCCCAAAAGACAGTCACCACTGAAATAGCTTTCAGCAAGGGATCCCATTTTTCAGCCTCACATGAAGAGACATGGCATGCTCATTTGGCAGGTCTGGGTGATCAGGAGGCATTGGAGGGCTGTTGTATTATAAAAATCCCTGGAGTTCTGATGCAGGCAGCCGTAACATGGGGATCTGCAGAATGATCTGTAGCCCACAGGGGAGTCCTCCCTGGGACCTGTAACACAGGCCTCCAATATCTAATCTTTTGTCTTCTGCAGTGACATCAGTGCAAGACCCTTGGTGGAAGCTGGTATAGGAGGAAGTAGGCTTCATGAACCCCAGGGAGAAGGACACCAGACAATCTGTCATTTTATGCTCATCTTCCACGAAACTAGTTTCCAGCCCCGTGTGCCTCACTGGCTCTTCACCGTGCCTCTGTCCGGCTGGCTTACTTTCCTTTTCTTGATCAAATGCCACCAATCCTAGAATACTGTATTATAACTTTGGGTTCCAAAGCGGCTCCTGAACCCCAGCACTCTACTTCCTCTTCCTAGCTATATAGGCTGATGGGACAGCTGGGGGAGTGGGGCTGGAGGCATTCTAGTAAGAGCTGAGTAGAAACTGTTCCATGTAGTAATAGGAGCTATCCATGTCAGGCAGCGACTTAGGCACATTACAGACATCACCCCCAGCTTTGCCAGGTCTCTGCAAGGTAGGCGCTATAGTCCCTACACCATACACAATAAAAGGTTAATTAACTTTTTAAAGCTCTTACAGCCTGTAAATTAAGAGCAGGGCTTCGAATCTAGCTTTATCAGACCCAAAGCCCAGGACATGGCCTTCCCATCACAACTCACTGCCTCCTCATCATCTCAGTTTCAACAACCAAAATCTTTTTAGCTATGAGAGTGAATAATTCAGATTGATCATCGTCTACTAGGGCACATTCTTCTGGGCTATGGAAGAAGTAGAACTAAGAAACAAACAAAAATTATAATCCATCATTTATTTATTTAGCTAATTTCTTCAGAACATTCTTCTTTTTATTCTGTATGTAAAACCCTCCAATTTTTTAAGGGGACACCCTGACATCTTTAAATCATTGTGATTTTTGCTTAATGATTATCAACAGCATGTTCATCCTGGAACCAACTGCAATCCATGTCCACTAGGGGTCTCTATGCTGAAGCGGCTGTATGCATATTTACAGCCAATATGCCCATCCTACATTACATACTCCTGCCTCATGAACACATGTATTCCTCTTTGTTATAAGGTTTAGCTGTTTGAGTTATGTCCAAATGTGCTTTTTCTAGTTTGATGAGCTTGGTGTGAAGATCATGCTATAGGGTTTCAAACATAATGCTCATGCTCTCAAATCTTGCTTTAGGCGAAATGACACCAGTTCTGATCTCCTAGAAGCACTGTTAAAAATCAAAAGCAGGCAATTTCTAAATATTTTTTGAGTCTGTCTGAAGTAAGATGAATTTAAAATATGAGATACTAGTTTGTAACGTAAGTCACAAAAAAATATTGCCTCTTATGAAAATACTTTGTAAGGCTAAAAAAAACAGAATTTTTGTTTGGCCCTCAGGTCTAGAAGGCTCCCTGAAATCCTATGCATAATGAAGAGAAATTCGATGATAACAAAGGAAGCTCTGCGTGCTCAACCTTTTGGAGGGCTCACGCTGCCTGAAGCCTTCGGCTTGCCCAAGGAAACCAGTTTCCCACTGTAGCTGGAGACGGGCCTCCAGGAAATCTCATAATACATACCAAGACTGATGGCAACTTCATCTAGGGAGATGGTAGTTTTCTCAGTTGACAAGGGATAACTTGGATAGCGAGCTAGAAACTTCTGACACAGGAGCCCTAAACTTTTCTGTTTTCTGCTTGGCCTTTGCTTTTCAAATTCGTCCACAGCACTGTTCCCAACAACAACAAGCTATAGAGGGCAGAGAGAAGGGAGGGGGAAGATATCACGGTTAACATCCTAATGGAGAAATTGCAATGGCTGGTATTGGCAAATTGGGGGGACATCTCAATCCATACCATCCTAGATTCTGGTTAAAATACATTTCCTAATATAATTTTCTGTATGTTTTACCTATTGCTTTGTCTGGGCTGAATTTTTTCTCCTTTGTAATTTGAGGCTGAGTGTATTACTTAAAAGTTTAAAAAATGAAAAATGTAGTCATTTCTAGGTAGCTACACCTTTGCTACTGGTGTGCTTGTCGGATCCATGAAATCAGCATCGCCAGGAGCTTGTTAGAGACATAGAATCTCAGGCCTCATCCCAGACCTGCTGCATCAGAATCTGCCCTGTCAGAAGATTCTGGGTGATTCCTATTGACATGAAAGTTTGAGATGCACTGGCCTGCATCCAGTCACCAAATTGTTTTACATTTTACAATTGACCAAAGGTTGATGAAACTGAACTAGGGCAGTTAAATCTTATTATTTCTCATTTGTAAGTATACTAAACTAGCATCCTTGTACCATCAACCCACATTCGAAAGGGGCTCCATTCAAGCCCCAAGAAAGTAAAAGGCTTTTTAAGGGACAGATACAAGGAGAAAAGTGATATGATTATCTATAGATTCAGAAAAAGCATTTGATAAATTTAACACTCATTCATGATTTCCAAAAATGTCCTCAGAAAATTAGGAATAGGAGAGAACTTCTTCAATGAAGTGTATTCATGAAAACACAATAGCAAATATCTGTCTTAATAGGAAAAACTTGGAAACTTTCCCTTAAAATCAGGAAGATGATAAGGATGCCCATTATCACTTATCCTACTCAATGCATGAGGACAAGATAAAGAAATTGAGGCACACGGACTGGAAAGGAATAAGTAAAACTTTTCATTCTGCAGACAATATATGATTGTTCATATAAAAAACTGAAAAGAACCTCAGACAAGTTATTAAAAATAATAAGTGAATTTAACAAGGTAGAGACAATATATTTTAAAAAATCAGCTGCATTCCTATACAACAGTAACAGCAAATGAATTGAAAAGACATCATTTACACAAGCAACAAGAATGGTAAGGTTTTTAGGAATAAATCTAGCAAAAATCTATTTGCATTAAATACTAAAACTTAGACCTTAAAGAAGGATATTTAAAACTTATATATACTATTTTCCTAGATAGGAAGACTCAGTACCATAACAAGGTTAATTCTTCTCAAATTAATCTACAGATTCAACGCAATTAAAATTAAATCCAATGTAAAGTATATAAAATGGAAGAACAAAGAGCCAACAATAGCACACACAAGCAAGACAAATAAGTTGAGGGTTCTGTTTCACCTGATATGAAGGCTTATTACAATAGAGTATTGGAGTAGGGATGGACAAATTGGCTAATGGAACAGAAAAGTCCAGAAACAGACATACATATAAATGTAACTTTGACATATAAAAGTGGTAACACTGCCAATGGTGAGGAAGGGAAGAACTGAATAAATGGTGCAGGGACACCTGATTATACAAACAGAAAAACAAAGATGTATTCTTGACTCACATCATGCACAAAAAGCATTTCCAAATGAATAAAGATTTAAACAAATAAAGCAGATTTTAAATGAGGCAAATATAGGAAAATAATTTTCTAACCTTGGGATAGGGAAGGATTTCTTTAAATAGACACAAAAAACATTACCCTTAAAAGAAAGAATGTATATACTACACTACGTTAAACTTGAGAACTTCTGTCCATCAAAAAGAAACGAAGGGAAAAGATAATCACCAAACTGAAAGAATATATATGTAACATATATAATTGATAAAAGTTTAGTAGCAAGAATATATAATCGACTCCAACAAATCAATATGAAAAAGATGAACAACCCAGTAAAAATTGGCAAAGAATACAAACAGGCATTTCACAGAAGTGGGAAAAACATGGTGGCCAATAAACATGTGGAAGGAAGCGTAACCTCCCAAGCAACCAAGGAAAAGCAAATGAATACCACAAAAAGATATAAATTGTATAACCACTAGATTGGTAGAGATTAATAAATTTAACAATTTCAAGTGTCAGTATGTGGATCAATAAATGTTTATACATTACTGGTGGAAGCAAATAGTACTTTGGAAAGCAATTTGGCATTATCTTGTGAATATTTGCATATCTAATGACCTAGCAATTCCACTACTAAGCATATACCCTAAAACAGTAGTTCTTAAATGTTTTTCTCACAGGATCCCTTTATATTCTTAAAAATGACTGAGGACCCTACAGAGCTTTTTATTTATGTAGGTTTTATCTACTGATAGTTAACTGAATTAGAAATTAAAACTGAGACAGTTAAAATGTTTTGTGAGAAAAAGGTCAGTATTTTATACATTTTTCTCAAATCTATTTAGTATCTGGATTAATAGAAGAGAACTGGATTCTTGTGTTTGCTTTCGTTTTCAATCTGTTGCAATGTCCACATTGTATACTTACTGGAAGACTGCAGTATACACTTGGGAGAAAATGAGAGTTCAAATTGCAAATATCTTAGTATTATGAAAATAGTTTTGACCTCATTGACCTGTAAGACTCTTTATGGACATGAGGTCCCCAGATCACACTTTAAGAACCCCTGTCCTAGGGAACTCTTACATATGTACACCAGTAGACATAAACAAGAATATCATAGCAGCATAGTTCATATTAGCTCTAAATTGCAAACAACTCAAACAGCTATAAACAGGAGAACAGATAAATAAATTGTGGTGTATTCATGCGATGGAATACCACACAGCAATGAAAATGAAAGAACTACAGCTACATACAAAAATGCAAATGAATCTTAACGAAGTATGTTGATTGAAAAAAGCAAGTCTCAGAAGATTGTATACTACATATAGATTCAAATTTACAAAGCCTAATGACCAAACCAAACCAAACCGAACCAATCTATGCAATGTACTATACAGGAACGTGATAAATACAAATTCAGGAGAGTGGTTGCTCCATTGGGGAGGCAGATGTCAATTAACAGTATTGCTCTGGCTTTTGGGCTGAGAGGTAGATTTATGGGGGTTAAAGGTATTGCATAGGGTAAGTGTATTTTATATGATCAAATAGTGTATCAAAAGGCCAATTTTAAAAGGATATTAAAAGTCTGTTTTATGGCCACTCAAATTTAAGGTATTTACTTCCAAGTAGTGGTGAACATTTCTAGCGACTGATCAGTTAAAATCTCCTTATAAAGCTTGAGTACAAAACCCAAAAATTTAATTTGTTTTAGGGCCATGTTAAACAACTAGTTCTTCCAAAGTAAGATATCAATAATGTCACCTTATAAAAGAGGTCAGTAACAATTCCCATTGGGTGATTTTCACTTTGCTATATTTTTGTCAAGAAAATTAAAAAAAAAACCCTAATATTTATATGCTTTTGACAGCAAAAAGAACACTTAATTGTATTTAGTTTTTAGAATAAAATGTAATGAAACCAGGGCAGGTACCACGATTCCCATTTTACAGATGAGTAAACTGAGGTGCAGAGCCGCTGAGTGGTTTCCCCTAGGCACCTAGCTAGTGATTTGAACCCAGGGCCTTCTAAACCAAGCTCCTTGTGCTTCCAACATTAAATATAAAATGGAAAGGAAGCAAAGAATAACTCAGACTTAAAAAAGGAATTGTGAAATTTTTCTGGCTTTAAGCATGTAAAAACTACTCTCAAAACTGTATGATTTGTGTTTAGTTACATGAAACAATCTGTTAGTTCTAGCACTCCAATGATATGTATAGTGGATTAAATTAATGGTGTTTTCTTAATTTTAAGTTATAATTCAGGACATCTTTTTCTCTTATCTCCTCCCAATTTTTTCATTTTGGCTATTTTTATAGCTTAAAAAAAAAATCTACCAGGCCGGGTGTGGTGGCTCACGCCTGTAATCCTAGCACTCTGGGAGGCTGAGGCAGGTGGATTGCTCAAGGTCAGGAGTTCGAGACCAGCCTGAGCAAGAGTGAGACCCCATTTCTACTAAAAATAGAAAGAAATTATCTGGACAACTAAAAATATA